TTGCCAGCACATTCCACAGATGCTCAATTGGATTAAGATCTGGAAAATCTGGAGGCCAAGTCAACACATCATCTAAACATGTGTTCCTCCAACCATTCCTGAATTTATCAGATCAGGTCACCTTCTTGCTCTGTGGTCCAGTTCTGAAGTTCATGTACCCATTGTAGGCACTTTTGGCTGCAGATACAGGTCAGAATGGGCACCCTGACAAGTCTGCAGCCCCATACACAACAAACTGTGATGAATTGTATGTTCTAACACCTTTTTATCAGAACCAGCCTTAACGTTTTTCAGCACTTTGAGCTACAGTAGCTCTTCTATTGGGTTAGACTTAACAAGCTAGCTTTTGCTCCCCACATGCATCAGTGAACATTGGCTTCCCATGACCTTGTCGTCAATTAACCAGTTTTTCTTCCTTGGACCACTTTTGGACAGTCCTGACCATTGCAGACCGGGAACGTCCCACAGGAGCTGCAGTTTTATAGTTGTTGTGACCCAGTCGTCTAGCCATTACAATTTGGTCCTTGTCAAAGTTACTCAAATCCTTACACTTTCCAACTTCAGGGACAATATGTTCACTTGCTGCCTAATATAACCCACCTAGTTTCAGATTCCATTGTAACAAGATAATCCATGTTATTCATTTTACCTGTCATTGATCTTTGCTTGAACCCATCTGTCATCCAGAATGGGTACCTTCACTGCTGGAATTGGGATATCCACCGCCTCCTCACCCAGCCCTCTGATACCAAGTGATGTAACCCTCTACAGTCTGCTGATTTACATTACCCTTGAAGTAAGTGTGCTATGTTAATTTTATAATAAATCATGCTAGTTTTTAATGGGATCTAGCATGCCTGTGTTTATGTCTTCTTTACAGCCAGAATGAGCCCAGATCTATTTGGAGGTAGCTTCAGGAACCATTGATTGCTAATATAGATCCTTCCATTTGATGGATTGCATCCCTACACTTGTCCATACAGGTTGCAAGCAGATGTTCAACTGTGCACTTAGGTGGCTGTTTCTCATATTACCTATATTATAGTATCTCTTTTACGTACGTCTATTGAAGGACATACAAGTCCAAGTGGTGTAGAAGGAGAAGCTTGACAGTACCACCTTAGCCTGTGACCTGTGCTGAGATAGAAGATGAACAGCTGTACAATGCAGACAGAGAAGGTCATCAGTCACATACTGGAGATCATCTACCTAATGACTGGAGAGGTGAGAACAGACAGAATGTCATTCCAGGCTTCTATATGACCACTTAGTGACTTTTTCTCGATTCTTCACCCTCTGGCACCCTCTTTTTTCCCCCTCGGTTTTTTTTTTTCTATTCTGATCTTAGCTCGGCATTGTTTATGGCATATGAAGCATTGAGCATGCAGCAGAATAGGGACTACTTAATGATAGAGCTTAGTTTATATGTTAGTGTTAGGCTTAGCTTAGTTTATTGGGTACTGTGTGCAGACAGGTCTAAGGACTTCAAATAATATACAAAATCTACTTGCGCTCTTATGTTAAATGATCAATAAATAAGCACATATAGCTGCTAACATCTGATCCTATACCAATAGATCTGATGAAGAGTAAAAAATAATAAAACAAAAAATGATGTAGCGCTAAAACAAAAAATAAATACTCTGTTAATGAATCATATTAAGCACATGGTCAATATAACAAAGTAACACACTCCTTAACATGTAAAAGGAAAAATAGTGCGTGATGGAACTAGATAAGTGAAATCTAAAACACATGTGAGACCCCTGCACACAGTGCACATATCAAAAAAGTCCAGTGATGCGTATCACATTCCTTCCGCTCATGCAAAATCAATGGACTGTGTATGGACCCACACACCCCCGAAGTGCAATCCAAAACCGGCTGAAATGGCCTCTCACCTCCCATCTGCGACCCTGCAGGGCCACAGAGCATGTAATATCACCACTGGATCAAGATAACCTTCCTCTTGGGTAGATGACTTGAAGATATGTCCCCAGTACACTGATTCCACCTCTCCTATAATATCCTTAATGGTCAGATGAGCAGGATGGATCCCAACTCAGATCCCAATAGGATAAAAGAAGAAGACATCCTCCATAGTGTAAAACCGCTTTAATTTTACTTAAAACTGAGTAAAATGCACACTTACATCAGCAAGATGAAAAATACAGCTTGTTCCCATACCATGGGTGTAAGCATGTGGCTGAAGGGTGTTCCAAGATGGCGCCGCGCCGGAAGTGCGTCACCAGGTATTGCCGTCGACGCGTTGCGTCACGTGACCTCGTGACTTCCTCTAAGGACTTGTTTAAAGCCTAACTCTAGGTTTCTTGTAACTTTAGTCCCCAGAACAGTCGCACGTCTGAAAGAACATTGCATCAGACAGATTGTGCAAATGCACCTTTACCATCCGGGGACATGGATCTCTTCTTGGGCATATTTCTTATCTTTCCCCAGCTGGTTCTCAAGAGCTGCATAATGCAGTATTTGCCTATTTTGCCTCAGCTACTAACAACATTTTTTGTTATATTAACTTTTTATACTGTTTCCACCAAAGATATGCCACTTGGTAACCTAGATCTGAGCTGGATCTGGGGTGGGACATTTAGAAACGAGTGGTGTAATGTACTTTGTGTATCTGGGGCTGCGGGCATCCTGGTGGGCATGCCCAGCTAATCAAGACTCATTATGGATATGTTTTCCAGCACGTAGAAAAGGGAGGCAGGGTGGGGAATTCCTGTGACAACTAGCCATACTGATAAGCCTTGTCTAGGTACCTAGCTGTTAATTATATTCATGTTTAAAAGTTGTATTTTCATGTTCTTATTGGTTGTACATCTCATCTCTGCTAACATCCCCAAGAGGGGAATGTCCTCCAACAGTTATTCCTTTGGTGTTACCTCAACATCCAGTCTGCGTATGAAGCTTGGGGTAAAGGGCTGGTATTAGCTATAGGTCTACTGGAAGGTTTTGCAGGGCAGGAGGCACCTAGTTGGGGGTGCCAGGCAGTCCGTCACAGAAACCAATCAGCTTCCAGGTTTTATTGCTAAAGCTTAACTGAACAAGCTGACGTTAGAAGGTGATTGGTCACCATGCACAGCTGCAGCAGATTCTGGGTGCACCAGTTTTAGTGAATTTCCCCCCACTGCTTCCTGTAATCGGCTGAACAGTGCTCAGACTTTATATTGTGCCAGGAGCAGGATAGGAAGTCCCTGTAGTTTGGAGATTAAAGGAGTTGTTTAGGTAGAAGGTAGCCCCCCTAAACCACTTAACTGAGCCCGATCTCTATCCAGCAATGTGTAGAAGAACAGTGGCTCTCTCTCTCTCCACACTGGACTCAGTGGCAGCAGCAAGAGCCAATGGTCAACCACAGCCTGTGAGGAGATTGCAAGGCCAATGGTCAATCACAGCCTGTGAAGGGGCAGGGCTGAGCCACACACTGTATGCTTATGGACACATAGAATGTAACTTTGGATCGAGCCCACATGAGTGCCCACATGAGTGTCCACATAGCAAGCAGCTTTCTGTTGGGACACTTGGAAGGGGGGAGGAGCCAGGAGCACTGGTGGGAGCCCCAGAAAGGTAGGATTGGGGGTGCTTTGCACAAAACCATTGCACAGAGCAGGTAAGTATGACATGTTTGTTTTTTTTTTTTTTTTAATTATGCATATGATCACCTTAAGTGTTTAGGCCACTCCGGTATGATTTGTTACATGTCAGGGCAAATTGCATTTTTTTCTATGGGGTCCATTCACACTTCTACAACTCTTATAGGTAAAGTGACAGTAAAGCTGGACATCAGCTTTAACTTATTTATTTTAGGGGTTGCCGAAAAAAAACCTCACAGTGCACACCTGGACATCAGATATCGCCCACACTGAGAAATGTGTCAGATGTCAAAGAGTAGAGCTTCATCTAAGGGACCATCTAGAGCAGCCTCTCTCAACCTTTTCAACACAGAGGAACCCTTGAAATTGCTTTCCAATTTTAGGGAACCTCTGCTAAATATTCCTATATCTACAACTCCAGATACATTAGTGTGATGGTCAGTGGGAAGAATGCTCCTTCCACTTGTGGTCATTGGGATGAATTACCCCCTTACACATAGCTAAAAGGGTCAATGGTGGGAACTTATCTGAGAAGGAAAAATGTTTCATTGCTCCAGGAATCCCTAGCAGCCTCTGGAGGAACTCTAGTGTTCCATGGACCCCTGGTTGAGAAACTCTGGTCTAGAGAGTCAATGACTGCTATAGAGGTAGGCATGGACACTTCTTTTACAGCGTCCTTCAAAAGAGAAAAGAAAAGAAAAAAAACTCACACACATACACACACACCAACAAATACCAGTAACAGGGTGTCTTTAAAAGGAGGTCAGCAAAGACCACCACTTATAACAATACAGATTTCAAGATTCACGCGGTTTTTATTAAAAACATTTTTTATTGAATTAAAATGATTCTGTACTAACCAACACAGAGTTCCCAATAAGAATCTATGGTTTAAAGAGGCTGTCACTGAGGGGAGGGGAGTGGGGGGAAGGGACAAACTTCTGTAGGTATGAACTGCACATTTTAAGTGACCTTCTATGCCTTTTTGTCACAGCTGAACCTCCGGCGACTCTGAGAGGCAAAGTTATGGGACTTTCCTATAGTGCTGAAGCTGGCCGACTCCTACATCCTGCACATTCCTATTGTCTAGAGGGACTACTAATCATAGGGACTGGCCAAGAGAAATGTCAGGCAGGAGCTTAGATAATCCCCAACACTACACAGAAATTTTGGGGCTTTACCTGTTAGAACAGCCTAGCATTTGGCCACATCAGGAAGGTGTAGGAAGATAGTACAGTTATGTACAAGTATCTCTGGCAGTTTGCCTTCCTCACCCACCTTGGTCCACCATGGACTCAAATATGAGTTTTGGGCAGACTTTCCTGTAAAAATGTGGGAAACCAATAAAAACACTAAGTATATCTGCTGCCAGTTTTATATGTTTTAAATCAATCACACAGTCACAGTCAAAAGTTGATCGGATTCCATCTCTAGCCTGTTGGCCGATTTAGGCTCCTTGGTATGAACTTTACGCTTGTGCTTCGACAGGCTGGATTTGTCAATGAAACATTTATTACACTGAGGACATGGAAAAGGCTTTTCCCCCGTGTGAGCCCTTTGATGCTTCAACATGGTGTCTTTACATGGAAAAGCTTTCTCACAGTACTTGCAGACAAATGGTTTCTCCCCAGAGTGCTGCCGCTGGTGGACAACCAGGCTTGCGTATTGGCAGTAACTCTTGCCACACTCATTGCACACGAATGGCTTCTGTTCTGCATGCATGCCTGCGTGCTTGACCACGCTGGATTGCCGAGTGAAGCCTTTCCCACACACTGGGCACGAGAAGGGTTTTTCACCAGTGTGGACTACCTGATGGAGGACAAGATGCTGGTGATTGAAGAACCTCCGGTCACACTGGTTACAGGGAAAGGGTCGCTCCCCTGTATGAGTTCTCTTGTGAGCGTCCAAGTGGTTCTTACACGAGAAACTTTTTTCACACTCATCACACGGATACGGACGCTGTCCATTATGTATCTGCAGGTGTTTTTCAAGAGTCCACTTACTTCCTAATACTTTCCCACATACTTTGCAGGAAAAAGAGGTCTTTCCCAACCTTGACTTGTGTGTCCTGGACCTTTTATTGTTACTTTTCGGTGGTAAATACTCGTCATCTTTGTACATACATTCTGCTAGAAAAAAAAAAAAAAAGAGTGACAGATGAAAATCTCTAGAGTAAGGTGCACTTCATACAGACTTTGAACGTCCATTCAGTTATAAATGTTAAAGGCCAACCTCACAGAAAATGGATATTTCAATTTTACGTGGGCACAGGTGGTATATATCACCAGCCAACTACTCTGCCTACTTTTGCAAGGCCTTAAAGTAAACCTGTGCCTTACCCATGCAAGGCAAAGCAATATTCAGTTTACTGCATACCTCTGCAGATACATAGGGGTTGATTAACTATAGGTAAAAAGACTGTACACGTTGCACTCTGCAAGAGCAGTTGCTCCAGACCTTAGTAAATGAACAGAAGCTCTGCTGACTATCCAATCAGGTGCAAGCAAAAATGCTGTTTTTTTTTTTTATTTTCCTTGCACAGGGTTGGGTATTCTTTGCAAAGTTAAGCTTTACCTTATTTACTAAGCTCTGGAGCAACTGCACTTGCAAAGTGCACAGTCTATTTGCCTTTAGTAAATCAACCCCATCATGTTAGTTTCCTTGGAGCAAAGGTAAGCTATATAAGTCGCTGGAGTTGTAGCTTGCACAGACCTCCCTATGTGACGACACTTACTGGCTATATGTTCCTCCATATTCTGAAGAACACATTCTCCACTTCTGGGTGCTGGCTCTGTAAAGGTCCATCATCACCTCAACAAAGAAAGTACTTCACAAGGATATATTCATAAAGCTCTGATATCCTCCACCTAAATGTCTATTTCAAAGAAGTCACATCACCCAAGGGACATATTTCACCCTCTATTGAGCTTAGCCATAGAGACCCAGGAGTACTGCGGATTTGCTTCAGCTCCCAATGCTGAGCAGAAAGTCATATAAGCTAAGCAAAGATAAATGCACTGTGCATTCATAAAGTATTCAGACCTCCTTCAATTTTGTCATGTTGCAGCGTGATACTACGGAATTACGTTTTTGTTCATTAATCTATGCTCAGTACCCCATAATGTCAAAGTGAAAACAGAATTTTAGAAATGGTTGCAAATGTATGAAAAAGAAAAAAACAGAAATTTCACATTGGCATAAATACTCAGACACTTTGCAACAACACTTGAAATTTAGCTCAGGTGTCTCCCATTTCTCTTGATTGTTGCTGAGATGTTTATATACCTTGACTGGAGTCCATTAAATAGGAAAGGCACAAACCTCCCTATTAAAGGCCTCACAGATGACAATGCATATTGTATCAGAGCAAATGTCATGAGCTGAAATGAACTGAAACGAACTCAGAGACAAAAAATAGCTGGAGCAAAGTTCCAAAGCGCTCAGGACCTCAGACTGGGCCAAAGGTTCACCGTCCAACATGACAACAATCCTAAGTACACAGCCAAGACATCACAGGAGTGGCTTAGCGACAACTCTGTGAAAATCCTGGAGTGGCTCAGCCAGAGCCCTGACTTGAACCCTATTGAACATCTCTGGAGAGACCTGAAAATGGCTGTCCACCGACAGTCCCCATCCAACCTGACTGAGCTTGAGAGGATTGGCAAAGAAGAATGGCAGAAAATCCCCCATTCCAGGTGTGCATAGCTTGTTGCGTCATACCCAAAAAGACTCAAAGCTCTGAATACTTAAGTACATGTGATATTTCAGCTTTTTTTTTTTTCTTCGTAATAAATTTACAAACATTTAAAAAATGATAAATATAGGGTAAAAATATAAATATAGGATAAAAATATAAAATATAGGGTACTGAATGTTGATTAATGAGAAAAATAATCAATTTAAACAACTGTAGTATCAGCATGCAACATAGCAAAATTGAAAAGCGTGAGAAGAGAATACTTTATGAATGCACTGTATGTCTGGGAGTGGTAAAGTAAGTGGTAGAGTAAAGCTAGTGCTTTGTCCTGAACAGGTGAGGCACGTAACTAGAGCGGAACTAACATCTCTTCTGTCACAAAAACCTTTTTCATTACAATTTTGCTTAAATACATGGAAATTAGTGTGCTATCCATACACTACACTGGCATAAGTCAAGTGAGGAAGCATAACATGTCTTTTAAAGTCAATTGTTATTTTCTCCATTTTAGTCTGGTAAAACATACCATTTTTAGAGTTTTGTTGGATCTGCCCATTAAGTGCAAGAAAATTCCTTTTTGATCTACATAGCTTGTAATTTCCTGTGGACTCTGCCTTTGCTGTACTGGAACTTTTTGCAATATTCATTAACTGGAGCTATTTTGTCCAATACACAGCTCCATTCTTGGCTTCTTACAGATGCCAGAAACGAGCCGGGGGCTTCAATAGAATTCAAAATTATCTAGTGGCAAAGAGAAAATGTGGGGGTTTTTTTCAACGAAGTCACACATGGCCACTCAGCCTCTAATCTGCCTTTAATCAGGAGCTGTGAGACCATGTATTGATAGGCAAATGAATGTAACTTTTTCCTTCCTTGAAAAGCTATAAATGCTGCTCAAGGGTAGACATTATCAGTGCTTCCTACAGGGTAACAACTATGCTGTAGGGAGAGGACGACAACACTTCTGGAAACACACCAACAATCATGTAGTGTAGTCAACCCTCTCCAGGAAGTTATTAAAGTACAATAAGGAATGGTGTCAGGATCAACAGGTAAGAAGTGCAGCCATTAAATAGAGGCAAACATAAGTGCCCATTTAGACTTTTTCAATGCATTACGTTACCTATTTAAATAGACTGCCGACACGCCAGATCATGGACAGATCCCCTGCTGAGCAAAACAGATCCAGTCTGTGTGAAAGGGGCTTTAGTGCATTGGGGTACCATTAAAAATTAATGGACGCTGTGGACAAGAGGGAACTATGTTCCATCACTGGTGGAAATGCCCGGTAGTGAACAGGTTCTGGATCCGAATGTTTAATTTTATCTATTTGGTAACAGGACTTAATATTCGTAGATCTCCAGAAGTGGCGTTATTTAATTTCCTACCCGCTGACGTTCACAAAAAATTGACTAAATTAATTTTATACCTCTTATTGGCGGCACGCATTACCATAGCTAGAAGTTGGAGACAATCACTGATCCCGCTAGATAGGGTTAAACAAAAACTTAATTGGATAATGATAAACGATAAACTTACAAGCATTGTCAATAATGATGTCTCTAGATTTGAGGTGACGTGGCAATCGTGGATCAGTTATATTTCTATATCTTAAAAGTACTGCAGCTGACCCTCCCTATCTCCTCTCCCCCTTTGGTATTCCCCCCCCTCTTTTTTTTTTTTTTTTTGTTTTCTTTCTTAATTCCTTTTTCTCTTTTCTTGAATTGTTTGTATACTTTTGGTGCATTTCTGTTGCATTATCTGGGTTCATTGATAAATGGGCAGTTTGCTACGTGGTTGAGATGTTCTTTTTACATATCACCAATGTCTAATAATGTTTTTCTTTCATATGCTTAACTGTTCTATGAATACGATTGTGCACTCCATTTGAATATGATTGTGCACTCCATTTCGCCATGTAGGTGGCATTTGCGGCTATATTTTTGTATTCTACTGTATACCAATTTTTCAATAAACATATTGAAGTATAAAAATTAATGGAACTACTCTGTGTTTCATGAATTATTGTAATACAATAGCATAAATGGCCCATAACAATTACAGAAAATGAAATACTGAGCAATGCACAAATTATATTAAATAAATAAATGCCTGGACACACATTTAACTCAAGGTGAACAATGTGCTTACCTGGACTGACTGTGTCCGCAGATACAGACATGTACAAATCTTGGCTTTCCTCTGGCTCCTCCTTGATGTGATTGATAATATTGCAAACATGTTCCTGATCAGGAGAAGGAACGAATTGGGGAGATTCTGGAGGGAAAAAGTGCAGATTTTAAATATGTGAAGAAAGAATTCGTCTCTATTTACTACAACAATTCCAACAAGGGTTAATCAGACTGTCTGTAGAGAGATACCCTCTTTTTATAGAGAGTTCATTAGTCCCTGCCGAAACTCCTAAACCAATATTCCTTCTGCATTCATACAAGCATACCCTTTAATTTGCATACAGGGGTTTTGACTAAAGGCTCCAACGGGTAGCCGTAGAGGAGCTCAGGGAAGACTCGTATCAGTAGTTAGGAATGGTTTTTAGGAGAACCTGTCACTTTTGCATGAATGGCCAAAGGAACAAATTTACTTTAAAGCCAAAATCTGGGCTCTTTCCCCCTTCTTTTCCAATGTCTTTGAGCTGGTCATTTGATGCTGATCCTCTTCACCTTTACTTCAGGGTGAGTGGTCCTCAGTGATGCAGAGAGAAGTGCTGACATGATGACGTCAACCCCACTCTCTGCACCTATACATGGCAAAACGTAGGTTGTTGTGATGGAGGGCCTCATGACACCTTGCACTCATAGTATGTCCTCAGTCTTCTGGGTGTAGTAGTGGATCACAGCATAGACAATGACTGTTCTCCATTAGTGTTCTGCTCCATCAGTAGCCTTTTCCTTTTCCCAAAGTCAGAGGTGACAGATGTAAAGATATCCATGTAACTTAAGTAACTTCTTACCTGCATCCTCACTGTCCTCAGTGTCATCTGAGGACTCTCCACCAGGTTCAGGTTTAATATCAAATGAGGAAATAAATTCAAATTCAGATGTAGCTTGGGCTTCCATAAGAGGCATGTGAACATTTACAGTAGATAGGAGACGTTTTTTTTCTGGGCTTCTTGGAATAAATTCTGAAGATGAAAGAGCTGATGTCCCATCTAAAAGAATATACACCTCTCAGCTTTAGAAATGGTTCACCATTACCAAGTAACTCTACAGATCCTATGTGACAAAACTGTTTTTTTTTTTTAAAAAAAAGGAGATCCTAAAACGAAATATTGGTAGGACATACAACAAGATTTCCATAATATCTGAACTACCTACATTGTTGGGTCTACAGAATGTTGGCATCATGAGATTAAGTTGTTCAGGTTTAGGACAGGCTTTTTTCAAAGGATATCTGATCAATAAAG